CGCCCGAGGCTTCCTCGCCAACTGTGGTCCTGAGGCCTGAAGACTGCAGCAGCTTCACGGATGGAAGGCGGGATCACCAGAGAACGAGAACAGCAAAAAAAACTGGAAATGCATCAGGAACTGAAGCAACAATAACGGACCGCGTTCGTGACAATATGTAGGAATGCTCTTTGTCAGCGCCAAATCGCGCCCGATTGGCGCGCTCGCGGAGTAATGGCTGCAATGCTACGAAAGGGCCCTCTGCAAAGTGTGGTTCTCGCCTGAGAGCCGTGCGCACTTACGTTGAATAGTTGCAGCACGTTCACGGTTTGAGGGCGGGCCGTTTTCAGAACGTGGTGCTCGCCTTAGCTACGCTCACATTCGTCTGAAAAGTTCGAAGCATACTCACGGACCCACGGAGGGCGGGTCGTTGTCAACATGTGACTCTCGCATTAGCGCCGCGCACATTCGTTCAGAAAGTTTGCAGCAGCTTCGCTGGTGGAGAGCGGCTCGTTTCCCAAATGTGGCTCTCGCCCTGGCGCAGCGCGTACTCCTTTTGGAAGTTTGCAGCTCTTTCACAGATTCGCATGGTCGCAGTCCCAGGGATGGCGTTTTGGCAAGATCCCAAATTTTCAGAATGCAACAGTCATGATGATGTCGATGATCATCATCATCATCATCATCATCATCATCATCATCATCATCATCATCATCATCAGCAGCAGCATCAGCATCATCAGCATCACCATAATCGTCATTATTGCCATCATCAGCATCAACATCATCACCATCATAATCCGCCGACCCCTTGTGGGTCTCTAGGCGTGTGAGATAGTTCCCCCCCCATAGTCCCCCCCCATGGGACCCCGAACCGGCGATTTGACCCCCCACCCCGGGCCCACGCCGAGCGACTCACGGGCCTCTTTTGGGCCCACATGGGGCTCAAGACGGGCCAAGAAGGCCCCAAGACGTCTCCCAGACGGCCCACGAGGGCGCCGAGACGCCAAACAAGCGCTCCAAGACGCCGAAGATGGCCCCAAGACGAGCCAAGAGGCCTCCAAGACGGCCCAAGAGGCCTCCAAGAACAGTCCTCAGAATGGCCGAAGAGCCGAACACATCAGATTCCTATGGGAAAACGAAAATTTCATCATATACGACTTGTCGGCCTTTACGGCGTTGAAGACGGGCCAAGAGCACCCCAAGACCGCCCCAAGACGGCCCAAGAGGCCCCCAAGAGGCGCCCAAGTCGGCCCAAGAGGGCGCCAAGACGGCCCAAGAGGCCCCCAAGACGGCCCAAGAGGGCCCCAAGACGGCCCCAAGAGGGGCCCAAGAGGGGGAGCTTGAACCGACAATCCGAGCCTTCCGCCCCAAGACGGCCCAAACGAGCGCTCCAAGACGCCGAAGATGGCCCCAAGACGAGCCAAGAGGCCTCCAAGACGGCCCAAGAGGCCTCCAAGAACAGTCCTCAGAAAGGCCGAAGAGCCGAACACATCAGATTTCTGTGGGAAAACGTACATTTCATCATATACGACTTGTCGCCCTTTACGGCGTTGAAGACGGGCCAAGGGCACTCCAAAACCGCCCCAAGACGGCCCAAGAGGCCCCCAAAAGGCGCCCAAGTCGGCCCAAGAGGGCGCCAAGACGGCCCAAGAGGCCCCCAAGACGGCCCAAGCGGGCCCCAAGACGGCCCCAAGAGGGGCCCAAGAGGGGGAGCTTGAACCGACAATCCGAGCCTTCCGCCCCAAGACGGCCCAAACGAGCGCTCCAAGACGCCGAAGATGGCCCCAAGACGAGCCAAGAGGCCTCCAAGACGGCCCAAGAGGCCTCCAAGAACAGTCCTCAGAAGGGCCGAAGAGCTGAAAATCATCAGATTCCTATTGGAGAACGTACATTTTCATCATATACTACTTGTCGGCCTTTACGGCGTTGAAGACGGGCCAAGAGCACCCCAAGACCGCCCCAAGACGGCCCAAGAGGCCCCCAAAAGGCGTCCAAGTCGGCCCAAGAGGGCGCCAAAACGGCCCAAGAGGCCCCCAAGACGGCCCAAGAGGGCCCCAAGACGGCCCCAAGAGGGGCCCAAGAGGGGGAGCTTGAACCGACAACCCGAGCCGTCCGCCCCAAGACGGCCCAAGAGGGCCCCCAGGGGCCCCCAAGACGCCCGTAAGAAGCCCCAGAAGGCCCCCAAGAGGGCCCCAAACGGCCCCAAAACGGCCCCCAAGAGGCCTCCTACTTCTCCTCCTTCTCCTCTTCCTCCTCCTCACGACCACACGCTGCACGCAACATTGCAGGAGAATGTTGCCGACACTGCGTGCGACCCCGGAGAAACCACAACGCTTTTCGAACAAAGGGGTCGGCGGATGTGGCGTACGCCTATAGAATCATCATCACCACCACCATCATCATCGTCATCATCATCATCGACATTACCAACACTGTCACCACCACCGTCATCCTGATCCTTTCCCTCGTCGTCATCACCGCCATCACCAACACAATCATCAGGTATGGCGGGCGGGACACTAAAGTCTGGTGCAGAATCGAGTTGGCACGCGAAAGCCCTGACGGGCGTGTCGGGTCGGGCAGGCGATACATTAGACGGGCCGATGTCATCATCGTCATCATCGTCATCGTCGTTATCATCGTCAGCATCATCGCCGTAGCATCGTGGTGTTCGTCATCGTCGTCATCGGCATCGCCGTCGGCATCATCATCATCATCATCATCATCATGGTTAGCATCATAATCATGATGATCATCATCATCAGCATCAAACTTATCGTCATAATCCTCATCCTCATCCCCACCATCATGAACACCACCACTAGCGCCACCATCCCCACCATCACTACCACCACCACCATCACCACCATGCCCAGCAAAAACTGACGGGCGGGGCATTCAACGGGTACTCGTCATCATCGTCATCATCATCGTCAGCATCATCATGATCATCATCATCATCATCATCATCATCACCACTATCATCATCGTCCTCGTGGTCATCATCGTCATCATCGTCGTTAGCGCAATCATAGCCGTCATCATCATCGTCATCATCGTCATCGACGCCATCGTCATAATCAGCACTACCATGATCAACATCGACACCATCATAATCCTCATCATCATCCATATCACCATCATCACCCCACCATCACCGCCATCACCACCACCGTCACCATCACCATCACCATCACCATCACCACGACCACCATGACCACCATTGTCACAATCCTCATGATCCTCATGATGACAATGACGACGATGAAGATGACGATCGCGATGGATGGTTTGGCAGCGGTGAGTGTGAGAAAGGGGAGAGCGATCCCCCCACCCTGTGCCTGCGCCGTCGCTGGCTCCGCATCCGCCGTCGCCACCGCTGACGTGGTCGCCGTCGTCGTCGTCGTCGTCGTAGGTGTCCTCTGCCGACATCGAGTAGAAGAGGAAGGGGTCTCTGTGAATTGCACTTCATACAATGCGTTTTCGGCGGTGTTTCAAAAAGGCGTTTCTACCTAACACGTGAACTTATGCCCCTCCCCAGTGTAGCAAGCAGCAGTAGTATGATGTCCACAAGCAGACATGAAGTAATTGCAATTGTCGTTTGAGCTCGAGAGGCCTCTCGACTGACCAAAAGAATTATCTCGAGCGCGAAAGATACCCGTACCCTTACCTAGACAGGGTGGCAAGGGGCCAGGGGGGCGGTTCGTCGCAGCTGACGGCAGCTGCACAAGTGTAGAAACGACCGCCGATCGAGCATTACAGACCGCTGTCCTCTCGGGGCGCACGTTCGCACCGATCGCACGTGCGTTCGAATCGGCGGAGTGCCCGACCCTGCGTTGGTTGTTGTCGATGTAGACCAGCTACTGCGGAGGCGCGCCCCCAGACACACATCCGGGCGTTGAGGAGTCAACGCGCACTCGGGGGCGCATGCGAGCAACTCTGGCGCGAACGTCATTGCGCGACAAAAGCCCTATCGCGAATTGCTCGGTGCAGAGACATCGCGAATCTGTGCCCTGGGCGAGGTCGCCAGAGGCCGCCCCCCTTGGACGGCCGTCTGCGGATCACCCCAGCTAGGTACGGTTACCCCATGAGAACCCCCAAAACATACCCGTACCGAGCCAGGGTGCCGCAGCTCACCCCAGCTAGGTCCGGGTATGTCTCGGTGGTTTCAGGCAGGTCTCCGTACCTAGCCGAGGTGGCGGCAGGCCCAAAACGCTCTCGAGCACATATCATGCCCCCCAGAGCCGTCCCCGACGTGGCCGCTGCGGCCCCCTTGGGGCGCGACATTGCAATGTCGTTCCTCAGGGCAGGCCCAGACGCATTGGTTGCCAGGATAGCAAGGAAATGCAACTCTTTATCGATTGGGGCAGGCGCCGCCACATATGGGCGGCTGTGAACCGCGCACGCACCACGATGCCCCGAGACGTCCCTAACAAAAACCAGCGCCTGTCGCTGCAATCAGACACCCGACCATCGAGCGCGCCGTTGAGTCTTGACGCGCGGATGCTGCAATGGCGCGCGCGGGGCAAGCTGACCGGGCACAATAGCAAGCGCCCAGTCCCCCGGACGGCCCATCTCACCTTGGCTGGCCCCGGGTACGGGTATCTTTCGGACCAATGAAGTTACCATCACCGTCC